TCGGTCTCGTATGCGGTTTCGGTAACAACAAGAGGGGGGAGTTCATGATACTAGAGAAAGAAACACAGAGTCAGTAAAACTGCTACACAAGCGTCGATGAGTGTAGACCGAAGACCAGTCGGAAGAAAAAGCAGCGTCACGTGGAGCGCGTTGTGATCGAGTCGATCATCGTCGATCGCGACGCGTCATCCCAAACGGGACGCGTCTTCAAGCTGGTCAGCGGTCTACAAAGAGGACGAGGGGGACGAGGAAATGCACCGTAGTCCCCCAAGCCCGGACGAAGGAGTGAAGTGGCATGGACAGGATTCATACGGACTCGATGGTATAAAGTTGGATGCTGCCCTCCTTCGTCTCAAAGCTCGGAGCGGCGCGGGGAAGGCGGCGGTACCTTGGCTTTTCTCTTGTTTCCAACGGGTTCGTAAACATATTCGTCCTCAACGTGGGCGGGGTTGTCGTTTCCGAGAGCACTGTGAGGAGATGTCAGCACCAAAGCTCACAGTCAGGGGCTTGAATTGAAACGCACTGGAGCTGCTCCATGATCCAGCTCTCGCGGCGAGAAGCATCGTGTTCTCTACGGTTCACGCTCTCCTCACGCTTGGAGATATCCCTCTCACGCTCAGCGATCTTGAGTTCGCGGTCGAGGATCTCCTCGGCACGAGTGCCGACCCATCCAGGAGGAGTGAGGGAGTCCTCCTTGACAACCTCCTTGATGATGGTCTGGATAGGACCAGCGACTGTCTCCACCAGGGTGGAGGCAGCACAGGGCGGGCAGACGACAGCAGAAGGGGAAGGAAGGACACCGCCGGGGGCACCGGCCAAGAGCTCAGCCTCGCGACGTGCAACTTCAGCCTCACGGACAGCAACGGCGCTCTCGCGGGCAATGAGTGCCTGAGTGCGCTTAGGAGTAAGGTACCCGAGGACACCTGACGAGGCGGCGTCACCACCGGCGGCAGACTGGCCACCTGAGGGAAGTGAAAGCATGACAGCTAGGACAGCTAGGACGAGAGAGAGAACGAGAAGAAGAGTGGTGGAAGAAATGGTGCGAGAGTGATGATGGGATCGTTCACGGTCGCGGTCGCGCTCACGGTGGCTACTGCTGCGGTGGCGGTCATCGTGGTGGGAAGAAGAGGGTTGAGCCATCCTGACTTTACGAACTGATGAGGGTGAGCGACGCGCATGCGATGAGGAAAAGGGCGTACCGCTGATAGAAGAACTCGGCGACAAGGACGTGGCAGTGGGCGGGGGTCGTAGGATAGACGTTTTGGAAGTTATGGTGGTAGAAATGAAGTAGACAGGTAGCGCGGCGGAAAACAAACTCGAGTGCAGTCGAGCAGGGTGATGGGAGAGGTTAAGAGTACTTTGCACGTCGTTTTTTTGCCATTTTCATTCTTTCAACCACACACGTGTTGTCCACGTGTCTAATTGTTGTCACGTGCTCCATTGTCAAAACTTTGGCTGGCCACTAAAGTCTAACACCATAGTCCTTGACGTGCATTGTACTTGCTACTAGCATTGCTGCTTCATGTCTCTTCGCCGCCTTGCACAGGCAAACGCGGCCATCGCCTCGCCCAGCCGCCCTGACTCCCATCTCACTGCGTCCACTTCTTCGCCTTTGACGTCAGGTGCCCCTTCCACCCCCCGCAATCGTGTGTCTATAGGCGCCTATCGCTCTCCAGCTTCGACTCCTTCTATTTCTTCATCTATTCCCTTCGACTGGAACGCGGCTCGTTCGCGGAAGCCACCACCATACGGGACGCCTCTCCAAACCAAAGCACGCAAGAGCTTGGGTGTCGGCTCAACAACAGGAACCCCTGCCAAACGCGTCGTGCGCAAAAAGGGCATTTTTGAAAGGTGTTTTTGCTTTCCTCTTTTGCGGTGCTAAGCGTTGAGCCCTAACGCGGAGGTTCCCATTAGAATCACGTCCATCCCGTCTGCCATCGCCTTTGAAATCGCGTTATTCCCTCACAACGTTCCCCTTCCTTCCCCGAGGACATCTGGGCGCCTATTGGGAGGAACCCTTCACTTGCTGCACCTATGCGTGCGTATCAGCCAAATACGTAAAGTCCCCGACTCCGACTTGGGATGGGAGGACATGTACCGCGAAGGCGAAGGCACGTCGTGGTTCGACTGGGTGCGTCACATTCCTTTTCTTCATTCGATTGCGTCCATCTCAAAGCGCGACAGACCACGCCGGTGTCGATCTTCCTCATTGCTGCGGCGTGTCTCAACGCTGTGTACTTGTTTACGCGCATCAAGCTCTACCGCCTACATCACCGGCCCGACCCCGTGTCGTCCCCTAATGCACGGTTTGTGTCTGCCCAGCTCGACTTTGCCCCACTAGAGGCACCGTCGTTGATATGGCGACTGACCTCGGGTATGTGGTATGCGTTTTCGTACTCGTGGAGGTGGCTGCTGGGGATGAAGCCTCCGACGCGACCTGGGCAACTCCCTGGAAGGACGGCACGAGTGCAGCAGCTGGAAGTGTGGGCGCCAGGAGAGCTGGAGAAAGTTTTGTTCGCGGTGTACTCGCCGGCGCATGCGTTGCTGTGGACGGCGACAGGGTCGTCGAACTGGATCTCGATGCTTGTTGTTATGGGTCTCGTGGGCGCCCAGGTACGGGCTATTCCGTCAAGTGATGTTGCGCGACGCTGACACAGAGCAGTTGCACGCGATGACATACTCGTACACGACGCTGCTGAAGGACAAGGATATTATCGCGGCAGAGGTGATGAGCGAGTACAACGAAGGGGTAAGTGGCGCATGTCATGGGGATCAGGATGACACTGATCGGCTGCAGTTTGTGTACCCGAGGATAAATCCCATTCGCAAGGATGTGGCGGTGATGACCCACGAGTCGGAGATAGTGAACGTATGGGAGGAGGATGAACGTAGATAGCACAGCCACATATGTTGTTTGCCCACGATAGCATGAAGATTAACAAGCAATGCCGCGTACGTGATATATGTAGACTTTTGGACAGTGTTAACGAGCACGATGGCAGTATATCGGCCAGGAGGGAGGATGTCGCAACGGGGACCGGTGCAGATTCATGCACCCAGGTGATTCTGGCTGGGACGAACGCCCATTCAAGGCGTACCGCAATCGAGATCGCTCGTATTCGCCTCCCCCACGGCACTCACGCTCCCGTATTCCGCCCAGGACCTCCACTTCTTCGTTTGTGGCGCCACCACCTGCCTCTCCCCCCTCTCTTCCCCCGCCCTCCCGCTCAGCACCTCCGCCGCCAATGCCTGCCTCTGTTCCTCCGCCGTCTCTCATGCCAGTGGCCCCCAAACTCGTCTCCAATGTCCAGATAACCCCTCCTGAACAGCTCAAAGCGACATGGGCCGAGAGAATCAAGTCTGCCGTTGCCTTTCTTCCTCTGCTACTCGTCCTCTAACCCTCGATATGGCTCAGGCTTATCGCAGACTCGGTCACCTGCAAACAGCAGATGACCAAGCTAGAGACCGATATCACCAACACCCAGCGCCTGCTCGACTCTGCCCGTGTGTCCGACTTGCCCGATGAAAGCAAGCAGCGCATCCAAACCGAGCTTTCTGATCTTCAAGCAAAGCAAAAGGATCTCGCCAAACGACGCGACGACACCATCACCCAGCTCACAAAGTCCAATGCATGGCCAGCCCCACCTCTGACAGACGCCGAGGAAAAGGAGCTCAAGGATCACAATGACATGGTCGCCTACGTCGAGACCCTCGAGAAAACCGCAAAGGAAATGAACGCCCTCCTGAACGATCTGCGTGAGCGCAAAGGGCTCGACGACACCCTCCCCACACCCATGGACGTCGATCAGCCCCAGGACGGCTCCTCTCGACCCCCAAAGCGCAGACGTGTGTCCGACGATCCTGAGCCTGCTCCCGTGCCCGAGCGCGGGCCGACGCTCGAAGAGCTCGAAGAAGTACACGATAAGCTCCAGGATCTCGAGGCGCGGTACGTCACCTTTGAAAACGACCAGTACGCCCACGATGCCGAGATGAGGGCCGAGGCGGAAGAGGCTCTGGATGCCAAGTTGGAAGAGTTTAGGCTGTCGCTTGCTGAGGCTCCTGTGCCCGGACCGGACGACAAGTACGCGGTGGTGAAGAATACCGTCGATGAGATTGGGAGCGAGGTACAAGGTTTGACGACGGAGGTAGCTTCACTCGTGGAACAAGCGGAAGCGCAGAAGAAAGAAATGGAAGCTGTCCGACAACGAATCGAAGACACAAATGCAGAGCTTGCACAGGTATACTTTTAGTTCATTATCCCCTCCTCTCTATCGTTCACACTTCTGTCAATGTAGATGACACAACAGTTCCAAACTCTCGTAGCAGAACGCGAAAGGGACCACCGAGCGATCGCGGCACTTGAAGCTGCGCTTACCGCATATACCACCGAACCTCCTCCCGTCTCCCCCTACCCTGGCTTGACGCACGACCAACTCATCGAGCTTATGGAGGAGCCGCTGCTCGACATGGTACGCGACAACGTCAAGCCCCTCATCGAGCTGCTGCGCGTCCAGGTCGAGACGATGCTCCGCTCGCAAAACCAGGAGATGTACAAGACTTTATGGGGCAGGCTGTCGTTGACATTACGCATGGTTGAGGCTATCGCGAAGCGTATTGAGGAAGCAGATGCTCAAGCGGCGGCTGCAGCCATGGCTGCGGGTACAGCTGCGGCTCCGACCCCCAGCCTTCTGGGTCCTCTACAACTTGGGCTCCAGTACGCAACTGGGTCCCAGGATGGGCATCATGGGCCCGCCGCAGACGCCAACGTGAGCCAGGACTGATATTCGTAGTTCTTCCCTCTGCCTTGATGTTGTTCTTGTCATCGATCTCAATTAATTCTGTTTGTATCGTGTACTTTGCTTTTTCTTTTGGAGAAGCGTTTGGGATGGAATTCAGCAACTAACACGTACTTCGTCCCCCTATCTCAATACCTTGCACTAAATGTGAACCAAAAGGACGGCCTTCCAGAACTTGATAGCATAGGCACCGCCACGCATCCAGCCCGTGTAGCTCAGCGGTAGAGCATTGTACTTATGAGGTTAACTGACCACTTTGTGGTATGCAAGGGTCTCGAGTTCGAATCTCGGCATGGGCAGTTTTTTGTGCTCTCACCCATGCCGACCAGAACCGAGGTATCGTCAACTTGCTCATAGGAAACTCGGGTAGGTTGTGTTAGTCTTGGAGTCTTCGTTCGCTTGGCGGTGGACGTTCGTGACGTCATAACGACGAGACGTCGCACTCACTGTCGATAAAGGAGCAGGGCGTATAGGTTCTAAGATATATAAGATAGTAGGGCGTATTATACTTGGGGAGGCAGGCCCATCTCCTCGGGCGTCAGAGAAGTACTCTCGATCATCACACCGACACCGACTTTAGCAGCGTTCTATAACATCACAGGCCAGTCAGTAAAAACATGCTGATGAAATAGGGGCATACGGCGTACCTTGAAGTGGTCGATCTCGCCAGACACCAAAAATGCGAAAGCGGGGGTAAAGCGCTGCTCCAGCAGTGCTGCAACTTTTCCTGTCGAGTCGACTTGCGCCCTGAACGTCGCCAGGCGGAGATCGTATTTGGCGCCAATTGTCGCCATTGCGTCCCTCCGCGAGGGAGTAGCCATGAGCTGCAGGTCCGCGGCCACCTCGACCTTCTCGCTGAGCTTCTGCCAGTACGTAGCCTGGACAATACCAGCGGCTTGGAGCTGCGCAGTAGCTATCCAGTTCTTGTCTGTGCTCGTGTACTTGGCGAGGTATGACGTGCTGAGCTCCGAGAGGTCAGGTTGCGGCCGCTGGAATATTGACTCGAAGCCGAGAGCGATGTTTTTGGTGAAGGATTGTAGGTAGCTGCCGACGAAGATGCCGGTGAGGTCGGTGGGTCCGGGGTTAATAGCCTTCGCGTTGACGCTGAAGTCCTGGCCTTGGTAGTCATGCTCGAGCTGGATCATGTTCTGGCCTGCAGTTTGAGAAAACTTCAAGTCGCCACGTCAGAACCTCTTGATGTATGGCACAGCACACAAGACGCACCTGAGCCTGCACTTTCGTGACGTTATTGGGCGTCCATCCTTGGTTAAGGCGACCGTTGACGTTTCCCTCATGGTCGACGCCACCTTGGAGGAAAATCTACGTGGTTCAATGTCAGACACGCGACAATTCGCGACCGCTGCAAAACTACAGACCTGCTGGTTGGCAAAGATGGCACCAAAATTGTAGGAGGAAGGCACTGTCTGTGAGCCGAGGGCAAACGAGTGGGTGACTTGGAAGAGAGGGTTCGCGGACAAGCTCTTGGTCAAGTCGGCGCGAGCACCGTCGAAGATGTAATTGGTTAGGTGAGTTGCTGAAGGGACAAGACAAGTAAGTATACACCGTCTCTGCAAAGAATGAGTTTACTTCACCCTTCACTTCCTTCTGAAGGTTCTCGACTGTTCCGGGGTGGGGTAGACCCAAGTCTGTGCGCCATTGGTTGAAACGGTCGTATACATCGGTGAAGGGAGAGATGGGGTTGAAGTACGATGACTTCGCGGGAATTGCGGCCTTGTGAACGTGTAGTCCGGGAACCCCGCCTTGCTCAAGAGTTGTCGAGGTGGACGCCATGAGAGGCAACAGGTCACTCCGCGTTGGCAGACCCAATGAAAAAATGTGACCAAATATGCGCAAATCTATCCGCGTCACGCGATCACAGTTCAGGCACGTGATGTGGCTGACTGGTGGCGGTGCAGCCCGACGCGACCACCTTCTCCTCGAGCCACTCTCGAAGGCCGAAATCCTTTCGTTAGATATCAATGCAAGGCCCCAAATATCTGCCCGAGGCTCAACTCGGGGTCTCGGGCCTTTGAACTCTCCTATCCGCCGAATCTTTAAAGATACCTCTAGCGTCAATTGCCGATTGGCGATGACATATCCCGAACGTTGGCTTGAACTTGGCTGTCACCCCAAAATTTCCCGATGAATGAGTCGAGACTCGACCAAGTACGCGCTGTTACGTTTGACGCCCGACGTTGATTGTAACGCTCTACAAATCCAACCCCCAACGCAAGCACTCGCAACTAAGTCTTGCTCTCGAGAAGGCTAAGCACTCTTCACGCAGTTCTCAATTCGATGTTATTGCCAATCCGAAGTTAAACTTAAACATTTGGCACAGAGGTCTCTATGTTTAGCCCGATATGCGTAATCATTATCAAGGTTCGACGGCCCACACAATCTCTCCGACTCCGAGACTCGCACTCCACAGACTCGCAATTACGATGCCAACTGATATAAAAGGCGCGCACTTTGCCGTGCTGCGCTCACGATTATCACCATTTGCACGCACACTCTGCTGTAGGACCTCATGCTGACCCCTAGACGATATATAGTCGTCGTTCTAGTTGTGGTGGTGCGTTTTCTTCCATCTCGTCGCGTCAACTGTGCTGATTGATTCGCATGACAGCTGAGTTTTCACTTTATTCTGGGGATTCTTCATGAGGATTATGGAAGGTTCTCTGTGAAGTTATCTGAAAGGCTTCGACAGGCGAACCAATACGAGCCTGAGGTCCAAGATCCCGTTCTGCTGAATGTCACCGAGCTGGCGTTCAACACGAGCGTTGCAACGCTGACAGAAGAACCAAACCCATCGCGAAACATCGCGGCAGACTTCTCCTACCACCAGAGAGCAAATGCGACTTTCGTTCTGCTTTGTAGAAACAGTGATCTCGGGGGCGTCGTCTCAAGTATACAACAAATGGAGGATCGGTTTAACAGGAACTACAAGTATCCTTGGGTATTACTCAACGAAGAACCTTTCACAGAAGAATTTAAAAGGTCTATCATCTTATTTACACTCCATCCACGCTTGAACTGACAACATGGACAGACGGGTTTCTGTGCTTACAGATGCTCCTATATCCTTCGGGTTAATACCAAGGGAGCACTGGTACCAGCCGGACTGGATCGACGAAAATAGAGCGAGAAGAGGGAGAACGAAAATGGTGTGGCAAAATATCATTTACGCAGGTCCGCAGTTCTTGTCATCCGGATGATAATCTGGAAACTCATGATGAACTCAGGCAGTGTGCCGTAAGTGTTCTCCAGGCGTATGCAGTGGTAGCGATTTAACAGCTATCCAGGTACCGCAATATGTGTCGCTTCAATTCTGGCGTAAGTTCTGTGTCCTGCTTACGTGTTTCGAACGCTCACGAGAAACTCACAGTTCTTTTTCCATCATGAGCTATTGAAACCTTACAGATATTATTGGAGGTTCGTCCCAACTTGTACGGTCGTTGTCCATGCGAGGTATTAACACAATGTTTACAGAGTCGAGTAAGCCTCAGACGATATTCTGTCGGGACCTTGCTCAAATACGATTCTCCAGGCCCGATGTCAAGTTCTTTTGCGATGTAACTTATGACCCATTCCTTTACATGGCGGATAACGACAAGGTCTATGGTCTGTCCATTTCCCTATGCTTTTCCTGCTCCGGACTCTAACGGTCAACTTTCGTTTCCAGGCTTCACTATATCCCTCGTCGAATGGGAAGCCACTATACCCACTCTTTGGCCGACAGTGAAAGGTTCGAGTCGCTGTTTACGTTGATTCTCTCGCGGCATGTCTGATCTTCGCGCAGACTTCATTGCCGAATATCCTCAATATGTCCAACCAAACAACTCTATGAATTTCCTCAGTGATAACGGGGGTGAAAGCTATAACCTATGTCATTGTGAGTGCATTTTGGGCTGCGTTTTATTCAGGGACTGATGATGGCAGACTGGAGCAATTTCGAAATTGCTGACATGGATTTCTGGCGCGGCGAGGCCTATCAAGCCTTCTTCGACTATCTCGAATCCAAAGGCGGATTCTACTACGAGGTACGTCGCATCAGCCTATTCTTGGAATGCCATTGACATCATCACAGCGGTGGGGAGATGCTCCCGTCCACAGCATTGCGGCGTCTCTCTTTGCCCGAAAAGACCAAGTTCACTTCTTCCGCGATATTGGATATCGTCATGATCCTTTTCAACACTGCCCCACCGGTGACGACTGGGCGCAAGGCCGATGTTCTTGTGATCCCAATGACAGTTTCGGTGAGACTTTCTGGACTGTCTACTAGCTGACCGCACCATCTGACGTTCGACGCCGTCACGCTAGACTATGCTCCTAATTCATGTATCAAACGATATGAGAACCTATTTGTATAAACATGTATATTAATATTGTCTTGATGGATCTCGTAGAGCAGTAATAGATGCGTATCTACTACATCATCAGTTGGGGATCTCGAGGAAATTCGAAGACGGGTTGAGGGGGTCGAACAAACCCTAACCCGAGGCTCAGGTTTTGTGCTTGCAGAAGTCGCAACGGTGCTCATGAGCTAACACATTGACTGCGCACCCACCTCATTTCAAGTTCTTCGAGTTCAACACATTCCTTTGCTTTTCGCCGGGAGGAAATTTGGCCAAGATGATGACCCAGATGCGCTACGCGCTTTTGGTACTAGCTATAATAGTAAGTCACTTAGTGTCCATGCTAATGCAGGCAGCTCACTTCTTCACAGATCGGTTTGCACTACATTCTCAGTACTTCCAACGAAAACTACGGTCAGGCCACCTCTATATCAAACATCAAGGAGAAGATTACCGGCCACAAGAACGTACCGCCGTATAAAAACCCCGTTCCTGACGAGTACTATGTCAAGTCGAACGGGACAGAGCCTCCCCCGCGCAAGGCCAATGCCGCATTCGTTCTATTAGGTGCTTCACAACGCCAACTACTTTCAAATCCATCTACTTATCTCGTCTGTTTAGCGCGCAACTCTGACCTGAATGGCGTTGTCAGCAGTATGAAGCAGATGGAAGACCGGTTCAACAAGAAATTCCAATACCCTTACGTCTTCCTCAACGATCAACCATTTGACGATGCATTCAAGAAGTAGCGTATTTGTCTTCGCACTTGGGAGCAACTTTTTAATCCTGCATTTCAGCCGGGTGTCGAAACTGACGGACGCTAAGGTCGAATTTGGCGTCATTCCGAAGGAACATTGGGTTCAACCTGATTCCATCGACGAGGCAAAGGCTTCTGCTGCTCGGGAATCCATGGTGAAGAATGGCGTGATCTATGGAGGTAAGTG